CTATACGGGAAAATACGAAACGATTCCATCAGCGGTGGGAGAGCTGGGAATTTAGTGGGAATGAAACGACAAAGTTTTGATCGAACGGGAACGGTGCGAACCCGGCGACGCGTTATCAGAAGGATCATTTCAACTTCAACCCAAGGTAGCAGTACAGATGTGAACAACACACCCAGCTCTATATCAAGTAATTCCCTGGACAGCTTTGAGACACGTGAAATAAAATCGTTGCCAGTACGCCACTCAGTAACACGTGTTAAAGCAAATGATGTTCGACGTCAAAACTGCCGCACATTTGAAAAATATGCCACGAAGACAGCAATTTCACTTATCAAAGACGCATTCACACATATAACTGACATAAACAAAAAAGCAAAGGAATTAAAAATGCGAACACGTGATGGCAGCAAGAAAATAATACAGCCGAGAATGTTGTCAAAAGAGGAGTCAATCGAAGAAGCCTCGACAGCATTGTTGCAGCGGAAAATGTTGGAATATAATGTTTCAGAAGAAGGTAAAGGAGGACAGAATATAAGTATGGAAGAGAGTTTTGATAACGAAGTCCCCCTGTCACCGGTAGACGCAGAAGAACCCGTTACTAATATGCTATTACGAAAGAAAATGGAACGGTATGGGTCAGACGATGTTTTACGAGGCGAGCGAATGGACAGTGTTCGGCAATCGTCGGTGGATGAGCTTGCCGATAAACTGCTGCAAAGAAAGCTTGAGGAATACAAACAGAATTCCCTAGACAACGAAGATGGGAGAAGGGAAAGAAAAAGTAGACAACCTCCTGGAAATCTAGCTTTTGATCTTGATGAAAAAAAGTCGACGGGAAATAAGTTACCCAGTCCTAATGAAAAGAGCTTGCGATCTCCGCTTACAAAAATGAAAAGTTTTGGTAAAATATTTGATAATAATGGGCCACCGTACGGATTCGAGAATGAAACGACTATTATGGCGACGGACGAAGACGGCACGGAAATTACCGATAACGTTACGGAAAGTGCCGACCACCCAACGAACATTGCCGACTGCTCTGATAACAAACAAGATAACGCTTGGCCGTTTCCATTGACACCGATACGTGAATCCAGCCAGGAGTTGGTGTCCCAGCATTCAGTAGAAAGTCAGAAGGCACAATTAGTTACTCGTGGCACACGATACGATTTCAAACTCGACTGCAGTCTCGTTAACTATATACAATGTCCCTGCATATGGGAAGATGAGCACGCGCCCACAGATAAACCAATAAAAACTCAGCCCAAAGTTCTTATATATTGTCCTTGTAATACTGTGACTGGTCGCTTGAATTTGGAAACGCCCTCGCCAATATCAACATCGAAATTCACAAATCCCGTAAAATCGAACATTGAAAATGGAGATGTTGGTAAACGTGATGACGTTGATGCTGGTTACCATAGTGACCAAGTAGTAAGCATGGTGAAAAGTTCGTCGATTGAGAAAACACCATCATATACTTCGCACGTATCAGACACGGGACGGGATCATGGCGTCGAAGCGGACTCAACAAGGAAGGTCGAGACGCCAGCTACGGTGACGAAAACACGGACGACAATTAAAATAAGGTATTGCAAATCAACACAGTGTTCAGCACAAGAAATTAAGGAAGTTACAGGTTGGAAAAGTCGTAGATCCATAAAACCTGTTGCTAAGGCGACGATTTGCATTCAGACGGATATTGATACAGACGTTGATGCTCCTGATTATGTGAAGAAACAACAAAATACGGAGATATACAGCAAAGAACACACGGATAAACTGGTAACAAAAAGACCCACAAGACGTGGACCTAAAAGACAGTCAACTTTTGACAGTGGTTTCTCTGACGTGACTCATAATGGCAAATTGAATCACCATTTAAAAAATAACCAAAATGGGCATGATGACGTACCAAATCACCGGAATGACAATTTTGAACGGGGTCACCAGGACCCATTTAGCAACACAGCTGTTCATGACCAAGAAATAGAACGGGTGACAGATTCAGCTAGGATACACAGCATTTGCAGTACTTTTGACGACGGTTCTGAGCAAAAAACTCTGAAATCACCGAAATTATCAGAGACTGGCTTCGCGTTCAAACATATGCTTCAACATAGTTCTAGCAACAGCCTTGAAAACGACAAAACTGATTCTGGTCCCAAAACCACCTCAACCGAAAACTGTGACAATTCATGGGGGAGTATGCCCTCAATGGACAGCTTTGCTCTTCTGGATTTGCCGCCACCGAGAATCAACGATCGCGATAACTGGTATGAGAATATTGATTATATTGATCGTTTTTTGACGGAAAGAGGATTTCAGAATAAATACGAAGAATGGACAGAATTATTCGCATCGCTAGATGCGGACACAAACAGTTTTAGCCAAGAAGAAGTTAGTCTGCCAGCCGGGATATATGAAGGTCGCCGCAGTGTTCCAGATGCAGACGATTACCATGTTGCATCGTCTCGATGTGAGGCAGTAGGGGCGGGACTGATCAGTGGCTTTGTCATGGCCAGGAATAACTTCCAGGTACGATTTTTCAAACAATTCATCTTTATTGGCGCCCGGGGAATGGTATTCTGTAAACACGAAGGGCGACTAGACCCGGATATGGTAACACGCGTTGCGTGGTACCATGTCACAACCTGTTAATTTAGTTCTCCAAAACAATTGCGTAAAATGCCATTTTTTTGCGTTCACGCAAGGTTTAAATAATGCCAGTTGTTTGAGGGTCGCATCTTTGGCCTTACTAATCATGTTAAATCATGAATGAGTTATTCGTTATGTAATCATTTGAGTACAGCGTCCATCAGACACAATTTCAATAGTCAACCAACATTCAACAAATTCTGAAATGTTTACTCATTAGACACCACACATACTGACAGAAAAAGATATTTCGCTTCAGTTTCAGTCGTAAGTTTCAGATTGTCTTGTTCATGGGATTCTGTGAACAGGCATCCAATCACAATTTACCATTTTAAGCGTCAGAGACTGAAAATGGAGTCCAGTTTAAGCTCAGATCAGCACTTTACATGGCCCGAGCAATGAGTAAGAATAACTAACCACGCACATTACTAATTAAGCATTTTTTTGTTGTAGGTGAAAAGTGAAAACGCGGGAAATGGGTCACTGACAGTAGGCGTCGTTGGACCCAAACCAAACAGCGTGACAGAAACCTCCGTGGTTTACACGGGCGACAACCTCTATGAAGTGGTCTATGAAGTTAACAGACCCGGATATTACGTCATCAATGTAAAATGGGCCGATATGAACATACCGTGTAGTCCATTTGTTGTACGTATCACATATTAGACAGACATTGCAATATTGTGGAACGCAGAGAGGACATCATGGAACACGCCCTCCAAATCACAACCCATGCATTATACGTAGAATACATTGCTTTGTGCAATACATGACTCCAATGGAGTTAGGACACAGTGATTTTATAACTTGAAAAGATTTATAATTTTTTACCCTGTAAGCAGTTATTATTACTGCCCTCAATGAAATATTTTACTTAAATTACATGATTTTAAGTTTTTCATTTAAAGAACCATTACACAATTGGGGCGTCACTTTGACTGAAAACAAATTTGCACTTGTTAACGTTTTGCGCGCGTGCGCAGTGACTGGTTGGCAGAAACCGGTTCACACCCGAATATAAAATACGGCGTTGATCGCTGCTGTTATATTTAAATGTAAATGCACGTGTCCCTGTCAATAAAACACCTTGTGGGTAGCCCAGGAGTTAGTGCTGATCAGTGAGCAACATTTTTTATCTGACAAATTGCATGCTGGTTGGCATGAATGTAAACATATGACGTAACAGTGCGCGGCCGATTGAGAATATTTGATATCAGGACGCCGTATATTTTACCAAACTTGATTATCAAAATGCATCCCTTCCTCAGATATCCGGCAATACTGGAGGAAATGTATATACAAGTAATAATCATAAACAAATCCTACTTAATTATTTATGAATGCGACATTGGTGGTAATTAATTTTAAAATTTTGTGAATGGTATCCTGTTTGTAATTTTTTTGTCAAGTTGTTCTGATTTGTTTTGTCATTATGGTACAAAAAGATGTATTAAATTTTAATTTACTTTGAAAATATAAACATGCCAATTATGTATACATGAACAGTAAACAAGGTTTGATTTTGCAAGCACTTTCGGAAGGTTTTTGAATAACTATGACATAGTAGAAAGAATTTGATCTAATTGCCAGAGATGGCGCTATTTAACACATGTAACAAAGGTAGATCAAATACAGATATTGACCAGCCTTCCACATGGGTAGCTAAGCCCATTACACAAACTGCCATGTGTAAATTGTTTGCAATAACATCAATGTAAGGCAAGTCTTGGATATATTATGACTCATTGCAATATATTTTATTTGGTCCATAAAAAACACATTTGCTTGTTTGTCACATATTTCAAGGAACTGTGTTAGTGACATGATACATGCAAACCATTGGGGGGGAGGGTGCTTTTAATTACATATTAGTTCTATCAATAGCACATAATGTGTTTATGTAAATGACAGGTGTGCGTTTGGTCAAAATAATTCACATTTTAATGATTAATACAGAATAGAATCTTTGGTGCGCTTTGATAGTATTCGTTAGCTTTGTCAGTATAATTAATTATTCATTAGTACCAATCAATTTTTGAATAGAAATGTGAATTTTAGAGTTGGCAACAATGTAGGGTATGTGAATGAAGGGGTTATTACATCTCTTACAAGACTTGTCTACAAATGGACTTCTGAATCTGATATAGGAAAATGGGCCAAGTCACTAAAGCACATTCCCAAAACTTTGTCTGACCAAATAAACACTCGAATCCCTTCAAAGTGACCCTGAACGTTAGTAGCTGCACTTTCCTACATGTTAATCACATTTGAGTAATTCATTGACCGTCAATGAACAGGTGGTAGTGAATATGGAAATGACGAGAAAGAACCATATGAACAACTTCTTATGTACTTATTTATTTTGATGCTCTTAAATTTATTTTGCTTTTAAACAGTTGAGATGTTACAAATACTGTTATTCCATTGGTCAGTTATCATGACGTGTGTCAGCACGCAGCATCTCATATTCTGACACATAAAAGTACTGAGTAAGCTCAATAAAAACTGCCTTAATCTTTTTGCAACATAATATTTTTATATAAAATTTTCTATGTTATTTTTGAGTGGACAACAAATGGTGCATATGTTTGACAATGCATTTACATATATTCAAATAAACAATGATGTTGAAAACTGGATGTTCTTGGTTTCTATTTTACAACTCCTCCTCCAGTAATATGGTTTCATCCAGTACTTTGTTTGTGGGTTATACCATATACAGAGAAAGGGGTAGGCGAAACTGCACATGATGGATAAGGTTCACTCGTATCCTCTGTAATGAAAACAAAAAATCCATTAAACTTGAAAAATAAATGAATTAAGATTAAAAGACTGCCACAAAAGAGTCACCTACTGACGCTGTTATTTACCATTCATATTGGCTCTCCATTGTAAGTAGTCAGAACCACTGTCAAAATGACACAACTACAAGGCACCAAGACATATAGGATCGTATAGAAGGGGTTTAAACACCGTGGAAACAATAAAAAAAACAATGACCAGTAGTCGTTAATACTGTATACTTCAAAACTATGAACAAAGGAATTTGTTTATTTTTGATTCGAAAGGTTAGCCTCATCTGAGAAATGGTAGCAGACAAGTTCAATTAATGAAATCTAGTGCATATCCTGACAAATTGACCATCTATTGTTATTAGAAGATAAAAATAATTTCATCATGCTAAGTTCCAATGAAATTGGTTTGTTCTTGTCAAAGAAATAGTTGTGGATATGTTGAGAACAAATATGATAAAAATGGCTGCCAGTCGGCTATATCGGTGTCACATAAAAATGTCAAATTCCACTGAAGCAAAAGTTTTCCTGTCATTCTGTGTAATTTTGACAAACTTACTTGACATAATGTGCAATATCCCAATTGGTGTCAGCTGATGTAGGAGGTTCTATAACAGGGCCGTCTTTTGTTACATAAGCTATTTCAAACTGAAAGATAAAATTCAATTGGAAATATGAATTCAATTCAATTTAAATTTACAAAGACTTGATGACACAGAATACCTATACCCGATGACGCATGCCCTCTAGTGACGAAGCAATCTGTGAAATAAATGGGTGACATGAAGACTGTTTAAAGCATCAATATCAGTTTTATCTGTAGTTGTCTATCATTAAAGATTATGATTTTGAGAGATTTTATTATATTCTAGATGACTACACAACCAAACACAGATGTCTAGTTCAATGACCTTACTTTCATGGATGTCATTTTGACATGAAAGACATAATCTGTCACTAGAGGACAACTCGTACATAAGAATAAATCAAATAAATGGACAACTTTTATTTCTAATTTCAACTCCTGGATACATCACTGTTCTACACAAATTATTGTTCTGCTGGTTACCCACTGTCAGTAGTCTGGAAGGCAAGTTAATATTTCATCTCCATGGTATGTGCATGATTCTGAATATGCTAATTATACAAGCAATGAAAGACGGTTGTACATATTCCTCACATACTACATGAGTGGACAGTTGCCACAATGATGACTGGCCCATTCATTAACTAAATATATAGATATTAGCCCAAATTCCAGATTATTGTGGAAGTACCCAGGCTACCCAATTAGCAAGTAAACGCTGTCCCAGCTGAAGTTGACTGGCCTTAATTTCAATTTCAATATTTTGAACTCTACCTGCAGTCTCAAACTATGATGTTAATTTGGTGATGTCAATGAGACAAGACACACTTGCTGTCATTTTTTTGTGTGGTAAAATGTAGACCTGCTGAACACAATACCTAATTTGTACATGCCTTGAAAAGAAAACTCACCCTATTATAAGATCTGGCATCTCTGTAAAATAATATTTTCATACATTTTGTGATCAAATCTTTTGCTTCTTGTAAGCTCATCTTGTTGTTTTTCTCATAGGCATCTCTGAGGAGTGGCTGAAAACAAAGAAACCGTAGGTTATTACAAAATATACATGACAGCATTGGTTACAGTGGTACAGTTAACAGCATTAATAGGGTTTTACCAGAGGAGAACTAAACCTGCACTTTGAATTCTGAACCACAACAGGACAGAAATTTCTGCAATCTTGGATAATGAAATAAAGCCCAAATCATCATAAAAAGAAACCACATAATTTATTGATTGCACATTTTAAATTTTTTCAATAATCAAAAAAGCAGATTTGACCATATCATATGACATAAAGTCATCATTGGAAACATCAAGAACAGCACAATTAAAGAACATTCCTGAAGGGATTGAACTTCACTGAGGCATCATAGGCCTTGGTGCTTTTCAATACTCACTATATATCATTTCTATATTAACAAGGCAATTTTATCAATTTATGCCTTGAAAATATATACCCTATCAGCTATGAAATTTAAGATCTGAGTCTTGATTGCAGCCCAATCAACAATAGAATGCATCTGCAATCATGTATGCAGTACATTCTTTGTACATATATAGATATAGCGTACCTGTGCCATGTATGCACCATAACCAGTGGCTATCGTAGGGGATTCGTATGCTGTACCAACCATATTTACATAACCAAGGAAACTGAAATCAAATAA